TCCTGAATTAGCATAAACCTCAGGTCTCAGGAGGTTTATGAAATATGACATTTACATTTTTTTCCTTTTCTTTTTTCTCTTCCTCTCTTTATAAGTTTTTTCCCTTTCATTTTTTCGTTGAGATCTAGTTAAGGTGCCCTTCAAAAATTTAGACGCACGAGGGTCACGAGATATCGTAATAGAAATTTTAATTTCTACCAAACATCAAATAACTCACTTTTAGTTGTCAAGACAACCCTACAGCATCTAAAGCCAACTTTAAAGCCCCTTCAAACTCGTTTTGAACCGGCAATTTTGTTATCTGTGTGTACATTGTTTTCAAAACAATTGTAAATTAAGTCATTGTTTGGTGACTATTAAAATTAGATTTTGATAAAAGTTAATGAAATATGTGATTGAAAAATTATGAGTTCCATAAAATATGATATTAAAATTAATTATTGATTTTGATTTAAATTAAAATTTAGATTTTAAGTCCTACCAAATATGAGCTAAATTAGTAGTAATTCGAACTCGGAGATTCCACGATTTATTCAAACTCAATGATTTTACGTTTTAACTTTCTCTGGTATTCTAAAATATGGAGCAATTCAAATTATTCAATTATATAGGCAAGTAGCATCTCTATCACTTTAACCTCATCATTTCCTTTTCAACCAATCATATCGAAGCAAGAAAAAATGGGGACAGAATATGAAGAAATATTTTACAAAATAAAGAAGAATAATATAAAATTTGGTGTGTCAAATTACTATTTGGAATGTCCTTTACATTCCTTGGATAGTTTAGAAAGTCATGACTTTCCAAAGCAATATATGTACTCAAGGGTGTTAAAATTGATCCCAAGTTGTGCGTGCAAAGTCTAGCCTTTTCTTTTTTCAAAAAATAAATAAATAAATAAATAAAATTTACAAAAATACCTTGTCGAATTATCTTGAGCACAACCCGCTTCATTGGACAATTCAGCGCTCATTAGCCGTGCAAGGCTCTTAATTGATCAATATGATGATTGCCTTATTGGACGATGTGTTGACTATCATTTATTGACTTTAGCATATATAAATCGACTTTTAAATTTGTTTGCAAGTTTGAAGAAAATAAAATGAAAAAGGAAACTAGATTATACTTCAAATAAACTTTTTTCCGTTATAAAAAGTTGATATTTATTTCGACTCAAACATGAACCCAAGCGTCCGTCGGCTGATGGTTGCACGAATGTGGTTTTCCCAAACTCACCAAAAGGTTCTATACAATTTTGAAAAAATTGCGGCGGGAGAATACAATGGTAATTTCTCGAGTCTCGATGGGCAAAGACGAATCCACATGCAGTGAAAGGCTTACATGTTGATCATATCGACATTTGAGCTCATACAGTAAGTACACTTTAGTGGAATTCGTACATAAAAAAGATAAAAGATGAATACATTGAGATATTGAGGAAATGTGTGAATTTCAAGAATGAGATCATAATAAGAAAAACAATCATGTTACATGTAAATCATTTTTGACATTTTCTTTTACATNCCGAACTTGAGATGCAGAGAAAAATAAATATTCTTAATTTTTCACGCTCTGCCTCAAACCTTAGAATGAGCACATACTTATACTAAGGCTTCGGACTTGAAATTACATTGAATTTGAAACAAGAATCTTGAAAAGAGAAAGCAAAAAGAATAAAGTAAAGTAGACAGCTTTTGTCTTCCACTTGTCTTCATCTTTTTCTTCTTTTGAGAAAAGTAGATACTTGATTTCTCTTTTGACTACTTTTCATTTCTTTTGATGCTTTTGAGAAAATTGATACCAGATATATATATATATATATATATATCGAAGACTGGTGCCTACTTTCAGATGACAAGTTGACTGTATACTAGATGCCTAACCATGGTTCAAAGGGTATATCATCGGGGAAATTTGAAAAACGTTACAAATGATTCTAAGCCCTCGTTTGGTGCACATTTTGAAGGTAAGAATGCATTTTTACTGTTGATGTGATAGGAAATATGTGGTTGAAAAAGAAGGAAAAATTATTAATATGATAGAAAGTATTATTTTATTGAAAAATGTGTGGTTGAAAATGAGTAGAAAAATGAGAATGAAAAAATAATGTGGACCAAACATGGCTTAAATTTTTTAACTGAATTTCAGAATGTTACTTTCCAATGAATTTCCACTCTATTTTAAGTTAACATTTTATATCAAGTTCTAATATACTGTTATATGTAATTTATACTCAAAAGAAAGTAAAATTAGGAATTTAAAAGTTAAATACCTACTTTATATACAATTATAAAACATTGTTAAATGATTTGAAATTCAATTTTGGAACGAAAACAGAACGATTTGACATAGTATTTTTTATTATTTTAAATATTAAATAATATAATTTAATAAATACATAAAAATCATTTTAAATTTGGAACGTTGTCTTGACATTTATACTAGGACGAGCAAATAAAATTATATTGCCCTCATCGTGACACCTGTTTCGCGCGGGTAGTCGCTAACAATTAAAAAGAATTCAGACGATTGTGTAAGGGACAAACCTCTCGAGACAAAATCCCAAAAATGAGTATTTTATTGATGAAAGTTACAATTTGAAATAAACAGAATGCTTCCAAGGGGTGCAAACACACGAGTACTGAAAAATGGATAATTAAAGTTAATCTAAAAAATTGAAATTACATATTCTCTGTTTGAGAGTGTTTGATTCGAGGTCCTTTCTCTATGTCTTCTCTTCCTTTTTATATTCTCATGATGATTTCTTCGTAACAAACCGCTTGAAAACTGTTTGATTGCTTTATAACTACTCACTTTCTTCATGGTGGCTAAATTGTCGTGGAACTGTCATCTCTAACTTCTTTCATTACTCTTTGTCGTCTAACCGCCTTCAAATGGACTCCTTGAATCGTAGAATGTAATAAGTCTGTTCGATAATTGCTTCAACAACCCCTATTCTAGATAATCATAATATCTCATATGTTAAGATTTTGGGCGACTCGAAGGTTTGGACGAGAACGAGGTCATCGCTCTGGGCCACCGTAAGACACTCCATTCGCTCAGATTCTGAACGTCTTGTAAGCTTAGGCGATGATGTTACTGTGTTCGTGGACTTCCTTTGCATTCACCGATAATCTTATTTGGGCATTTATCCTGAACTCCCCAATTGGGCTGCACTATTTGAGATATTTAATTTGGACTGCAATTTTAGTATGTTAACAATACCAATAAAATCATCAAGGTTGACACTGAACAGGTTTGTAATTT